TTCTCGCGACAAGCGGCCTCGCCGCTCGCGTGCTTAGGTTTCGCGTGCAGTAACTTTGCAAAGAAAAATAAGAGACTGCTCACTGTCCAGTCTTAAATAGGGTATCTTTTCTTGGACGTATCTTTTCTGGCTGCGCCTATGTTCTAAGAACTAAACTACAGCAAATTTTTTTTTTTTTTTGGTTTCGGGTTAAATGTCTTAAACAGGGTATCAAAGATCGGAATTCTGTCTTAAACAGGGTAGGAAAATCAGCGATTTTTGTCTTAAACAGGGTAAGGGAAGGAGGGGCCGGGCCGCACCTCCCCACCCAAGGATATATCGAGTTCCCCCCTCCCACCCCATCGGGGACCCACCGCACTTATTTGCCGAAGAGATGAGCCAAGAAAGAAAATCACCTATTTGGGATAAATTGTCACAAGCGTAATGTTTTCATTTAAAAAAACAAAAATTATTAATTAACATCTCTTCAGGAAAGGTTGGGACGAAAAATTCGCCTCAAATTACGACGCGAAACGAGCGTAGACATTCCATACTGACGACGCGACACTATCCAGATCTAGATAGTGCTTCTGACTGGTTAATAAATTCAACTAATCAGAAGCACTACCCTTATCTGGGTAGTAACCCGTCATGAGTATGGAATTTCTGCGCTCGCTTCTCTTCTCAGACGTCACTTCGAGGGGAAACCTGAGTGGTGACTTCGCAAAATGTCGGCTGTTTTCTCAGGCTAAGCGTCAAAGGGTTGTCTGTACAGGTTGATGGCAATAGTGAGAAGGGCCGTACAAAACAGATAACGAGTCTTTCATAAAGACCTAAACACGTGCGATCTCCTGATTAGTTGGTCAGGGAACCACCACCTGAACACTGCTGATAAGCAACGGGAAATGCCTCAAAATTAAAGGACATTATGATTCCATCTTCTCGTGACATAATCATGATGTTTGTTTTACACAGTGACAACACAATAGTTTGGCGTAGACGTCCTGGCTTGTTATACCAAACATAAAGGAAAAAAAAGACATCTCAACAACTCTTTAATTATTTGCTTCAAACCATTTTCAAATAACGAGACATTCTTTTAAACCTCTAAAAAGCATTCTAACGATGGAAATAAACTACAACGCCGGCTACACTTAAAAATTCCTTATACTGAGGACTTCAACAGTAAGGGTATTTACCCCCTTGATTGTAAAAATGCCAAGTGTGAGACTGGGGGCAAAAGGAATATCGGCTAAGCCAAGGTTCGATTATAACAGCTGTGCTTACACCAGCACTAACACTTTCCTCAGTTTCAAATTTACACTAGCATTCTTTTTTGTGTTTTCGATACTGTTAATAGCTGTATTTCCTATACTTAACCAAATGTTTTAAGTTGAATATGAGTAACAAATGTGTAGAAGATCATCGCACTGAAAGACGGAACTTCAGACGTAGGCTTTTCGAAAAGAAAGGCTTGCTGATTTTTTTTAGGATTTCATTGTACAACTGCATAAGTTGCGCCAATCCTTAACTACGATAATCTTCTTTACACATTTATTTCCTCATTCCGCAGTTTCAATATATGAAATTCACATATTCATTTTTTCACTAGTAAGAGAAATGCGAGTCTCAAACAAAAACCACGACCTTTGGATAATGAATAAAGTAAAGTAAGCATAGTCAAATTAGTATGTGTAATCAAATGGTGACGAGTGAAATTAGGGAATAATTTCACGCGCGTTTTGTCCAAATCCTTATAATTTCCCGAGCCTTTCGTGTGTTCAGGTTTTCTAAAGCGTCTTTTCATGCCTCGACATCTTCATTCATGACATTTCAAAACTTCCTCGCCATCTTGAAACGGAGACGTACGGCAGGTTGCCATGGCAATTTGGTAATTTCACATGTGAAATTACAAATTAACGCTGAAATTTCGCGCCAAAATTAAGGAGTAATTCGTCACCTATGATATTAAATGGGAAAACAAACAAAGCAATCTCAAAACCGGTTGACAACCCCGACACAAATAGAACCTTTTACGATACATGAGGTTACTAAGTGAAAAAGGCAGACTTACCTGACAGACCCACTGCATGTCCCAGAGCTTAATTTTGAGGTAGGAGGATGGGGAACAAAATCCGACAAACTAAATGTACCTAACTCACTACATCCAAGAGGAACAAAAATATCGAAGCAAATAAGGTAGCGAATCGGATTGGGGAAAATGATTTGCAAGCCAATCAGAACACAGACAGATCTGGTTTCAACTAAAAAAACCCAAGCGCAGCATTTGTACTCTTTTGAGTCCTTCAAATTCCATGACATTCCATGACTTTTTCCATGACCTTTTCTAGTTTTCCATGACCTTAAGTTTACATGTAGCTGTCATTTTCGCAAATTTTCAAAACTCTGGTATCCACCAAAATGCGTGCTCATGTTATCGTTGCTTTGTCATCTGTCGTAACTAATGTACCAAACAAAACTTTAATTCATTTTCCATAACTTTCAAGGACCGACACTTAAATTCCATGACCTGTACGAACCCTGCAAGTGGCATTATCCGAAAAAAATAAGGGTGTAATAATACATGACATTTGTTACCGAATTAAGAGCAGGAGAGAAAATACGACTTTGAAAGTTACCCCCATGACTTTGATGTAATATTCTCCGTTACTTGTTCGTTCAGCTGAATAGTGCTAGTGATTTACACTAGACGTCGCTGTTGGATCTACAAACAATGAATAGCAACTGTAATACACACGGTTTATTTAGCAACTTACCTCGCATTTCATCTATTTAAGTATTTAAAAACACCCCCCCAAAAAATACTATACCATCAAAACTTGATCACAATACTGAAGACTTCTACGCGAAAATAAATATACATAAGGCAGGACGAGCAACCTTTCTTACCTTCAAGGCAAAGTGAACCAGTCTAAGTACTTGAACATAAGCACGAGAAACAGTAAACCCCACCCATGCATGTCTCATCGTTCTGACAAGGGTTGGACTGACATTTATCTGTTTCTGTTTAGGGACGGACCATTAGAAATAACCGGAGGGAGGGTGAAAAATGTTTGGTGTATGATTTTTTTTAAAAAGCCTGCTTGTCTGCAGGAATTTTTTTCTAGGGCATATGACTTATTTTTTTTAGATATCACCGCTTGCAGGATTTTTTTAGACAAGTTTCCCTTGCAGGAATTTTTTTGGGGGGAATTGTCACCCCATCTCTGGTTATTTCCAATGGTCCTTCCCTTATTAGAAGATCCACAGATTGTGACCATGACGATTTAACAAGCATTGATGCGATAAGGATATTAGGTATTTGGGGACTCACATTATTTGCATTTGGTCGGCTATTTCAGTCTATACTACTGTTTACAGCTGCTAAACGTTTGAGTTGTCTCGAAGTCACCTTTGTCACCAAAAAGTAAACAAAATCGAAAATACGAAACGAGAAATAACCATATAGGTTTCAACAATGAGTTAAAAATATGTTTTCGTAACTTGACACTGGTTCCCATGCATAGAATGGTGAAGAACATGTGCATGAATATTACTCTGAACAGTAGGGTAAAATACGGTGTCGGTGAATCGTAATTTGAACAAAAAACGGAGTCTCAGTAAAGAGGGCTATGTCATGGTGAATTCAACTTCTTCTTTTTTTTTTTAGTTAAAGCTGAGCTAAAATTATCAATAAGTATTCCCAGTCGTCTTTGCTCCTATATTTCCAAAACTAAAGAAAAGATATCGAATGATTCTAACAAGAGGAAACAAAGCATGATCATTTATTTTTGACAACACACGAGTTTAACTTGAAAAAGTCGGCCCAAATTTTTTCAAGTTGCCGTCCGTTTCCATCCTGGCCCTTGAAACGCGCATGCTCTCCAGCTGCTAACATAGCCCTTTTAATACAGACACCCCGTTAATACGGACACTTGCTACGGCCCCCTCAGTGGCCATATTAACGGAGTTTAAATTTTACTGATTAATCATATTCTGTTTAACATTCGCGTCTCCTTTCGCATGCTGCTCTGGCGTAACTTTTCGCGACTCCCCGAATCGCAGTAGGGTGAAAAAACTTCGTGTCTCACGAAAAGCATGATTGGCTACAAAATACATTGCAAAGATTTTCCTAATAACGCTTGGGTAAGTTACGAAAGGTATCGAGAGGGAAAGTAGAACGAAAGAAATAGGTAAATGATGAAATAAAAACGAAACGAGGTGTGAGACGGAAAAAAAGAAAGGAAACTTTCACTCTGAAACTTAAAAAAATGCACTTCATTTCAGTTTCAATCTATTTAGTTCTTAACGTACTAATTGAGGACACTGCGCAAAGGAAGTACATTCCTGAGATATTTTTACACCCTGAGTATTGGTCCGGCCCCACAATTAGAGCCCGCGACTTCCCGCTCTGCAGTCAAGCGCTCTATTGACTGAGCCAATCCTGCAGCCGAGGTAGACAACTCGTGCAAGCAGATGCAAGCCGTTACGAATCATATTTGGCATAAATGTCGTTTGATGATTTTAAAAGTAAATGTTTGAATCCAATATTTTCATATATCGGTTTTGTCTATGTTGACCATTTAAAGGTATCGACAATTCTTCATGAAAAAAATTAAACGAAGTACTAGGAGAACATAAAAATCAGCGCGTACAGTGGTCAGTATAACACGAATTAAATTTCACCATTATTTTCTTTAGTTTACTTGAAACTATTTTGCACTGATTGATAGACACTGTTTCACCAATTAACGTAAAACATGCAAAGAGGGGAGCTTTATCCTCTCTTGAGTAAAATCAGTCTATAAGAAATCCTTAACTTTTGCGGAAAATTGATCGACGAGGGTAACTCGTATAGTGAAGCAAGTCTAAACCAACCTACAACTTTAGTTCTCATCACCGTATCGTTTGTTCAAGTAACTATAACTGACAACAATTTCCACGCGCAAAATCAGTAATTTGTATGTTGAATACAACTCGGTCTACGACAATAAGCAACGATGAGGTTTTTCTCAATTTGATCAGCGAATCCACAAATTCAACGAGTAAGAAGTAGTCGGGGAAGAATTCGCATCGTCTCCAAAATCGTGCTCTCCTAAATCTGACCACTCTTCAAATGCTCCGTAGTTATTCTCAGTGATACCAATACCATGATCTGCTCTGTTACAGCCACTTCCTCCTCCCCCGAACATCATCACTGAACCATCGCCAGTACTCCACTGACACCAGAACCCAATACGGTTGCTTCCCTGGATGTTGCCACTACAGTGCGCTTGGCTAAACCCTGTCGTGGAACTATACCAACCACCAAAATACACTGAACAGCTTCCAAGACATTTGTCATTAGACCAGACGTTACGATAAGTAAACCTGCCATAACTGGACAAAAACCCTCTTAGGGTTCTGTCACTTAAGCAATTCGAGTAAGTACGTAGAAGGGAGGAGTGTGAGCTATCGTCGGTTCGAGTTATCTTAATGTTATCTCCTTTGACTTTCCAAAACGCTTCCGATATCATATCGTAGTTACTTGAAGGGCTGGTAGGCGAACCCTGTGACGACTGAATGTCATACCACCAGTAAGCATCATCTCGCATCCAGTTTTTAGAATCAGCGTTCGAAAACCGAGCAGCGAGCGTCCAGCCACCTCCTGACATGTCACAATAAACCTGTGGAATAACGTACAAGTACAAAATTATGACCTGCTGATTACAAAAGATCCTTGTCTCAATACATCATTAGTAGAGCAGGGGTACAACAACTATTTCGCTGTTTAGGAACTGTTCAGGCTGACTCACTTTTCTGGAGTCGACTCGGCGTCCGAATCAAGATAATGACCAAAAAAGCTAGGTGCATAGATGCATTGCCCACAGATGCACTTATCTCGGCCCATGCCATAAAAATAGACCAAGTCAGTTGATTCCGCGAAAAAAGTGCATGTAAGCGTTGATCGCAGTCTTTCAAATTGTAAAACGGTAATTTTGCCCTATTTGAAAAATGAATGGCGTCTCGATTTTTATCAATTTTAAAACCTATTAACCATTGTCATTTACAACTTGTTTTTATTTAAATAATCATCAATATGTGACTTGTGGTATTTAACAGTGATCGTCTTGATCAAAGGATGTTTGATGGATAAGTAATTCGAAAATCTCCAGTTTCGTCTGTTCACGTAAACGAAAAGCCGGCGCTTTAAAAACTCTGGTGTCGTTTTTGAATCTGCGTTTTTGGTGCCACGTAGATGGAAGCCTCCAGTCGAGTCTTGTCCAAATAAGTTAGGTTTCGCCTGGAAAATGCTGTTTTTATTAATCTATTGCGGTTTTGGGAATTTTTTTGACCTTGCCTGGGTTTTGGAAACTGAAACCCTGTATACCGGAGTCTCTCGATCAATTCGTTAGTTTTATTTCGTTAATTGAAATTCAGCTGGGTGGAATAGTTTGAGATTGGTTTGAAGTAAACACCTTTTGTATAGTTTATGTGTTTGTATTCTTAACTAATTAAAATAGTAAACAACCCTTAAGTTGATGTATTGAAAAGGCGGGACTAATAAGTATTGTTATTATTTATTCAAAATAAGTCCCCGATTCTGATTGGCTAAGAGCACATGCATAATTTACCATAACCAGTTGCTGACGACCAAATTTGGAAGAACTGTGTGTTTAACGAAGAAATGACGTCCAAAATGCAGCGTTCTTGCGGGTTAATGCACTGTTCACCGAGAAGACCTGGGGCGAGGTTGAGTTGTTTTGGTTGTGAACTTGAAAAATGGCGGACATTTCACTAGTTTCAAGAGTAAGAACTAGGCGAAATTATAGTTAAAAATATGGCAAGAACAGCAAGAACACAACTCGAAGGGCGACATCTGCTATTTGGAGAATATTTGCGGAGCTGAACAACCCTAAACGTGCACTATCGAAGGTGAACTTAACATCGATGGAGGTAAGCATGTTTTAGCTTTGTTTTTAAACTAGGAATTATTTTGAATGAATAATAAAACAATTATTGAATTCGGCTCTCGTATCATATGAAGAATTATGGAGATCTCGGAGGGTGTTATCCGCCTCGGCCTACGCCTGGACGGATAACATCCTCCTCGATCTCCATAATTCTTCATAAGATACTCAGCCTCATTCATTAATTGTTATTATTATTCATTCAAAATATTTCCCCGATTCTGATTGGCCAAAAGCACACGTTTAATTCATCATAACCAGTTACTGATGACCAAATTTGGAAGAATTTTGCGTTTAGCGAGGAAATGACGTCAAAAATGCGGCGTTCTTGCAGGTTAATGCACCGTTACCCGAGAAGACCTGGGGACGGGGCTGAGTTGTTTTCGTTGTGAAAACTAAGATGGCGGACACTTCACTCGTTTCAAGAGTAAGAACTACAGCTGGAACTAGGCGAAATAATGGCTAAAAACATAGCAAAAACAGCAAAAAGACAACTCGGAGGGCGACATTCGCTATTTGGATAATATTTGCGGAGCTCGACAAACCTAAACGTAAACGTACACTATCGAAGATAAACTTGACATCGATGCAGGTAAGCATGTTTTAGCTATGTTTTTAAACTAAGAATTATTGTGAATGAACAATAAAGCAATTAATGAATTCGGCTTTCGCAGGATATGAAGAATTAAGCAGATCTCAGAGCATGTTATCAACCTCGGCCTCCGGCCTCTATGGATAACACCCTCCTCGATCTGCTTAATTCTTCATATCCTACGAAAGCCGAATTCATTAATTGCTAAGTATGCCATCAACAAGGTTCCAAACGACAACTTTGTACTGAGCGCAAAATGACGACTTGTACTTTTTTATTTATATTTCTTGGGCTATTTTGTTTCGACTGGACATTTACTGAACCTATGTAAATTTAAAGTAGAAGTCAGTTTCCTTATTACGTCGTGGCCTCAAAGGAAAACATGTGAACTATTTTTACTGATGAAAGACTAAATCTAAAATAAGTAAGACTGACACAGCCTTCAAGTCCAATCAGGATAGAAGGAGCTGCAATGAGCTTCACTCTAAACTAGCGCCCGTTGCATTGAGTATACAGTATACAAGCGGTGAAAACGAGCAATACAGCGTTGCTGAAGTGAAGAAATAACTGAACTTTCCTGTATATCCAATCAGAGCTAGTCCCCGCCCAAGCGGTTGTTGAGCTATCACTGTAGTAACATGAAGTACTAACTGACCGCTGACCGGCGGTAGCGCTGTCATTCGTGAGAGCTGTATGAATCTATGGTATTAAAGTATGTTGTGTTGATGCTGTCGTCTCTGTACCTCTTCGGACTCAACATGGTGTCAGAAGCGTGACCTTCCTACTAGCCTACAGTTGCGGAGATCAAACCAATCGGAGAAACGGATCAAATACTGAGACGAATTGACCGGTCAAACTTCACGCGGATCCTACGCACGTGGTTCAAAACAAGATGGCGGAAAGCATGCCATTCGCCAAACCACCGGAACCGCTGGAAATTTCGATGGGAAATCCTGCTCACTCGTGGGGAAAATGGAAACAAAAATTCGAAATTTACCTCAAGGCAATTGGAGCTTCAAAGAAACCCGATGAAATGAAAGTGGGGCTGCTATTAAACCACATCGGCGAGCCGTGTTTGGAAATTTACTCGAATTTCACCTACCTACCTGAGCGTGACGACCCCGCGGGAGGAGAAGAGAAACTTCCAGCCGAAGACTCCGACAACTACGCGACCGTTGTGGCAAAGTTTGATGAATACTTTCAAAAACGGGACCCTCAACTCATGCTGCGAGAGAAATTTTGGCTTCACCTTAAACGAGAGCCCACACAGACCTTTGATTCGTGGGTGGTGACTGTCAAGGAAAGAGCCGCCGAGTGCAAGTTCCCAGCCGATTTCTATGAGCAAGCAGTTAGAGACAAACTTACCTTTTCCTGCAAGGAAGACAATTACAAGCTAAAACTCTATGACGAGGGAGCAGCCCTTTCACTCGAAAAGGCAGTGAAAATCCTGTCTTTGAAGGAAGCAACAAAACGTGAGTTACACGAATCAAAAACCGCAGAGATTGAGAGCGTCACACCGCGAGGGAATAGGAAAGACCCTCATGCTGGTCAAGATACAGAGCAAAGGAACCAGCGAGACTTCAAGAGGAAGCCCTTCCAAACAAGTGGCCGGAACTGTGGGTATTGCAACCGCCGACACCCCCCTGGAAAGAAGAACTGCCCAGCGGCAGATGCACGATGCAGCAAGTGCAACAAAATGGGACATTTCCCTATCATATGCAAGAGTGTACCTCCAAAGACGGTCAACGAAGTTCTTGAAACCGAGGATAACTTTAGCCTCACATTTGTGGGAGGGGTTTACACACCCACTAGTCCAAACACCTCCAAGGCCGAACCAGCAGTAAACTCTCAAACCAGTAGCTCCGACCCTGGATGGCATGTCAACCTCAAGATTCAAGACCAAGAGACGCTGGCATGGTGCATCGACACAGGAGCACAAGTGTCTGTGATGCCTGAGCACATCTACAAGTCTTCATATGGAACACTTTCAAAATCTGACAGAGAACTTGTCGGAGCAGGGGATGTTCCTTTGAAGACCCTTGGATGTGCAGTCATGAACCTCCAACAAGACGAAACAGTCATTAAAGAACGAGTGTACGTAGTCAGTGGGGCATCCAAGTTGCTTCTGGGGATACCCGCCATCCGAAGTCTTGGTCTTATCCATGAAATCCCTGGGACATACAGTGTTAAAGCTGTCCATCAAATGCCTGATAGCCATCCACTCCAATCAGGGACCAAGGAGGACATTGTCAAGCAGTACCCATCACTTTTTCAAGGCCTTGGCAAATTGGAGGGTGAGCATACAATTCAATTGAAGGAAGGGGCCACACCCTTTTGTTTGACCACTCCCAGGCGAGTGCCACTGCCACTAATGAAGCAAGTGCAAGAGGAGATCAAGCGTATGGAACAACTGGACGTTATTGAACCAGTGGATGAGCCGACAGAATGGTGTTCACCGATTGTGGTAGTGCCAAAGGCCGATGGCAGGGTGCGGATATGTGTTGATCTTACCAGGCTTAACCAAGCGGTCCACCGAGAAGTCTATCAAATGCCAACAGTTGAAGAGACCCTGGGAAGCCTAACAGAAGGCTCAGTATTCTCCAAACTTGATGCCAACTCAGGGTTTCATCAGATAGTCCTAAACCCAGAAAGTGCCAAGCTAACTACGTTTATCACGCCCTTCGGCCGTTACATGTTCAAGCGTCTTCCCTTCGGCATATCCTCAGCCCCAGAACATTTCCAAAAGAGGATGGACAAAGAACTCTCTGGAATAGAAGGGGTCAAGTGCCGCATGGATGATATTCTAATCATCGGGAAAGACCAAGCGGAACATGACAAACGACTTAAGCAAGTCCTTGACAGGCTAGTCGAGAGGAAACTAACACTCAACCTTGAGAAGTGTTTATTTTCTCAATCCAGGTTGCAATACTTGGGCCAAATCATTGACAGTGATGGAATCAGGAAAGACCCCTCCAAGATCAAAGCCATCACCGACATGGCAGAACCCCAGAACATTGCAGACCTGAGACGTTTCCTGGGTTTGGTCAACCACCTTATGAAGTTTTGCCCAAATCTGGCTGAGAAGACGAAACCCTTAAGAGACTTGCTCAAGAAGGAGAGCGCGTGGGTGTGGGGCACAGCCCAACAAGAAGCCTTCCGACAGCTGAAAGTAGACATGGCATCCGACCAAGTTCTTGCACTGTACGATCCAGAGAAGGAGACCGTGGTCTCATCTGATGCCAGCAGTTTTGGACTTGGTGCGGTCCTCGTGCAGAAGCAGCCGTCCGGTGAAATGAGGCCAGTGGCCTATGCTAGCAGATCAATGACCGAGACAGAGCGTCGTTATGCCCAGATCGAAAAAGAGGCCTTGGCTATCACATGGGCACTTGAACACTGGGCTGAATTCTTGATCGGAATGAGATTTAAAGTGGAAACCGATCACAAGCCATTGATTCCATTGTTTTCCACAAAGCTGATTGACGAGCTACCAGTACGCATACAACGCTTCAGGATGAGACTCATGAGATTTGACTTTGCCATCGCACATGTTCCTGGTAAATTCTTGTACACAGCTGATTCATTGTCTCGATCCCCCCAGGAGGGTAAAGCCCAGGAGCCTAAGTCATGGAACGACCTACATGACGAAGTCGAGTGCTATGTGAATGCTGTATTGGTAACCCTACCTGTCTCCGACCAGCGGTTAGATGAGATACGTTCTGAGTTGAAGAGTGATGACACACTTAAAACTGTGATGCAGTATGTGCAGAATGGATGGCCTGAAGAGAAACGAAGAGTCCACGGGCCAATAGCTAAATACTGGAGTGAACGTGGCAACATCTCCCTCCACGACGGCCTGCTCCTGAGAGGACGGCGAATCATTATTCCTCCGAGGCTGAGGGCAGATGTATTAAGGCGTCTTCATGATGGTCATCAAGGAATTACCAAAACACGTGCAAATGCGGCCTCCTCAGTGTGGTGGCCTGGAATCTCCCAAGACATCACAAGAGTCGTGCATAACTGCGCCATGTGCGAGAAATATCGCAGAGAACGCATTGAGCCAATGAAAGGTACTGAGTTTCCAGAACGACCGTGGAGCAGAGTTGGCGTAGACTTCTTTCAGCACAAGGATAAACATTACCTCCTAGCCGTAGATTACTTTTCAAGAGATGTAGAGATAAGTCAAGTGTCCAAGAATGTAAACTCTGCCCAGACTATCCTGCAACTTAAGAGGATCTTCAGTCGACATGGGATTCCAGACATCTTATTTAGCGACAATGGCCCCCAGTTTGATTCACACGAGTTCACTAACTTTTCCACAGACTGGCAGTTTCAACACATAACATCGTCTCCAAGATACCCCCAGTCCAACGGTGAAGTGGAAAGGGCGGTCCAAACTATGAAGGCGGTCTTGAATAAGAGTAATGACGAATACTTGGCTCTCTTGAATTACAGAGATACTCCATTGCACCACGGTTACTCTCCAGCACAATTGAGCATGGGTCGGAAACTTCGTACAAGAGTCCCCTGTCACCCGGAGGAGCTAAAGCTAGAGACCCCAGACCGTGATCACATCAGAAGGAAAGAGAAGGAGTACCGAGCTAAGATGAAATTCGATTATGACCATAGACACAAAGTAGTAGAGGGAAAGGAACTGTCACCCGGTGACCGCATTTGGATCCCCGATTTAAAAGAGGAAGGAACAGTGATTAAGCCACACGAGAGTCCAAGATCTGTAATCATACAGACCCAAAACGGACAAGTGAGAAGAAACCGCCGGATGACAAGAAGAGTTCTGGTGGGAAGTTCTCCGGTCCCACCCCAGAATGAAGACTATGAGAATCATGAGCGGATACCAACAAGAGAGAGGAACCCAGACGTATCCTCAGCTCCTGGAGTCAGCCAAGAAGACTATGTAGAACTACCTGTCCCTGGGGACCAACCAGCAGTGGACAAGCTCTTGCAGCCTGAACCGATGCTGACACGCCTTAGACCTAGAGGAGCTCTAAGAAGACCTGACAGACTTATCGAACAATGCTAAGATTAGTTTCACTTTAGGACACTGGAGAACAGCGTTGTCCTTATTGACATTTAGTTAACTTAAAAAAAAAAGGAAGATGTAGTAACATGAAGTACTAACTGGCCGCTGACCGGCGGTAGCGCTGTCATTCGTGAGAGCTGTATGAATCTATGGTATTAAAGTATGTTGTGTTGATGCTGTCGTCTCTGTACCTCTTCGGACTCAACAATCACAAAATTTTGCAACCAAAAGACCGAACAGACTTTGACAAGAATTTAAGATTTTCGTTCAACAAAAATTGCCGAGAGCGACCTTTTGTTACATTTTAACGATAAATCCTTTCCAGGATTGCTAAGACAAATTCCCTCGGACTATTAGCTCTTCATTTCAAAGGACATATTTATGAACTGTTCAAACTTTGTTTCCTAAACTTATTTTTCTATCGTTAATGTTTGATTTCTTATTCTGTTTCCGGATTCCATTTTTTAGGACTTAACCGAAGACGACAATCAATCTGGTTACGATATAACGTTACTAAATAGTACGTCATAACAGCATTTCGTTACCAAGAGTCGATCTAAGCAACTGAAGTGAAGGATCACGAAAGGGCACAAGAAATGAGACTTCAGTTCTCAACAATCTAGACAGCCTTCGTGTGTGCACCTTGCCATCGTCACTGTCCTTTTATGGCATGTCCTTCGATCCACAAGCTACACCGTACTTTTTAGGGAGTTATTATAACTCCAAAAATAGAGTAAAAAGTTTAGGTACAGGGTAACCCCTTTTTGGGAGTTACTTTAATTCCTCATTAAACTCTAAAATTTGGGGTCATTTTTACCCTTGAAAAAGAGTTCTTTTTACTCCCAGTCTGGAGTTAAAATAACTCCGAGAATGGGGTTATTTTTACTCCTTACATAGGTTGTTTTTTACTCTTTTTGGAGTTAATTTAACTCTGAAAGTGAAGTAAAAATTTTAGGTACAAGATAACTCCTTTTGGGGGGTTATTTTAACTCCTCAATATCTGGGGTCATTTTTACTCCTGAAAAAGAGTTATTTAAACTCCTTTTTGGAGTTAAAATAACTTCCCAAAAAATAACTCCACTGTAAGGAGTTAAATTAACTCCACTAGAGGAGTCATTATTATATAACTCCTTGAAAATTACTGTGTAGTCTGCGTGGTAGCCTTTCGAAAGTGGCAGTGGCAGTGGCAATAAAATAGTAACGCTTAAGCAGCTGCCTACCAACGCATTGTCAAAAATCGATAACCGACACACTAAACACCGTGAAGATTGCAAAGAGGTTTGCTTGTGCCAACGAACAACGCAAAGATCATTTTGGAAAATCTTAGTAGGGGTATCCGTATGGCTGAGGGGAAGATACCCCCTTCCCACGTTTCAAAACGCTCTGCCCCCTCTGACTTACCTGAAATGAATAACCGTTGACGTTCAGATTGTATGTTCCACTTGAAGTATAGCCAAGGGCCCGGAGATTTTTACGAGATACTTTGGCAGTACCTTTAAAAAACGGGAAAGGAAACATATAAAAAGTAATAGTCAGGCACAAAGAAATGAAGAGAACGAAGGAAGTTTTTCATTACACTTAGTTTCATTTATTCCTTCGTAAGAGGCTACAAATTTTAATTAAATTGTTCTGCTCGCAAAAGTCTGAGGTAATTGGGAAGAGCAGAGGAAAACATAAAGTATACATTCACGACTTGTTCTTTTTGAACCTGTCAAGTCTCAAGTCAGTAAAACAGTCCCACGAAAAGAACCCATCGCCTTTAATAGAATCTCGAAATTCTCGAAATTTGTCTGATGGCTATTAATAATTAATTTCTGTTGTGGAATTTGGAAACTCTGGCCAATGCTGTAAGCGTTCACTCTCCGGTCACCTCATCACGAATGATACGTCAAATAAACCAAAACATACGCTGCTGGTAGAGTCGCTTTTCATCTTTCCTAGATAAGTCGGGAAAGAGGAAGGCGATCCTCTTTCCCGACTTATCTAGGAAAGATCGAAGCGACTCTACTAGTAGGGTAACCAAAACACAAACCCTTGTGCAAAAGCTGCAGAAACTGATCTGCGATTAATGACCGCTAAATTAAATCCTTGGAAACTTTTAATTTTGATTAGTTCAAACACACGTACTTTCACATCGCCATCCAGTATAAAGGCCTGGACAAACGCAGGTAAAGTTGTAAACTCTATCTACACACTTCCCTCCGTTCAAACATGGATAAGATTTGCATTCATCGGTATCTGTCGGACGAAAGTAAGAGACAATTATAATTTTTTTTGGATAAAGTGTTATCTGCCGGCCATAAGTGAAGGCTTGGGCAGGTGACGCTTAATAGTGTGGAAGGTGGAGGACCAACGAGGTAGTACCAATTGTGCGTGTTTTTGTAGATGATTCTCTCGCGATTGTAAGTGTTCCTCTCACTGTTAAGAGGCTTTAAAGGGGCTGTATCACGGAAGTCTAGTAGCCTGAATTTCATCCGATTACTTCGAGTCGTTATTACTCCCTCAGTAGTGACTTTAAGCAACGAGAACGGGGACGAATAATCATCTGCGTATGACTGGCGGGGAAAAGTTTGACGTTCTGCGTTCGGCCCCGACGTGAAACGAGTCACTTTGACGTTGGCTGAAAACGTAAGGATTCTTTTTCGCCTTCTCTGCTATCTAAACGTTAAATATTCCTGGGAGAGAATTTAAAATAACTTTCATCGCTTTTGTTTTCATAAAGTGAGATTATTCTTTAATTTGATGGTTTGTTTTTAAACAGAAAGGTCGAGACGCTGATCGAGACCGACACCATTTGACGAACATGTGAGTAAGAAATGTAATGTAAATACTCTTGGCTCACACTGATACCAATCGAAAATTCGCCGCTGAGAATCACTCAAAAGTCAAACAGTTTGACAAAGAAGATCTTCTTAACAGATTTTTAAAGGGCAGACAGCATTGCAACTTGTGCAGCCGTTTTGTTTTTTTTTATCTGCCAGCACAATTTTGAAGAATTTTGTCGCGCCAGTCGACAAACATCTACCGAGAATATTTTCTTTCAATTTACTTTGTAGGATTATGAAATACTGCATGTTTAGGTTATATAACGTATTTTTGGGTTCAACATCACAACGGCAGAGCCTTTTTTGAAGGCGAATCCAGTGGCTCTTTTAACTCAACAATCTGCATTTAGTGCAACAAAAACTTAAAAATTTTGGACCGTGTAACGCTTGTAAATATGTTCGAGATTGTGAAGGTGAAAATCATCCAATGCGCTTTTAAAATAAAGAAAAAAATATCTTGACGTTTCAAGGCTTCAGCCGCTTTATCATCAGCGGAAGATAGCATTTAATTAACTAGTCTTTATTTTTATAGAAAGGGACAATTTAAAAAAGGTTATACAATTTTATTATATAGGCCTTCGTGGCTCGTGTGAATTAATCCAGCCGAACTGGTTATTAAACCATGAAAAGTTTCCCTGTATTCTGCAGGTTATTATTTTTTCTAAAGTTGAAAGGTGGTCCTATGATAAGTGTGTTTTGCCAGCTGTTTTGTACTGGGGGTTGAATCTACTTTGTTGATGTTTTAGGTCGACTACTCCAAAGTACTGGACGAAAGATCATGATCTTCTTTTAGTAAGAGAAGTGCTAACTGTTGATCCGTATAGCCAACCAAAGGAAAGTAGGGAGAGAGCGAAACCGTGGGAAGAAATTGCCTTAAACCTGAGTGCAGTGTCTGAGCTCCTTTTTCCGGTTTCTGTGAGGTCTGTAAGACACCGTTTTAACCTGGTTCTAATAAAGAAACAAAAGAAAGGTTGCAGAAGAAAGCAAGGCCAGCGGAATAGCAGTTGATGAGCCCTCAGAGTTTGATGCGGCAATTGAAGAAATATGTGAGAAAGCCGAGGCTTCAGAGAGAGAGCAGCAAATGATATCAGAGGGAAAAAAAGCCAATACAGAGAAAGAGAAAACGTTGGAGAAACAAGAAAAAGAGTGGTCGTTGATGATGTTAGTGAAGAGCCCGAAAAAAGGAGAAAAGAACAAGGAGAGCTGGAGCAGAGACCATAGTATATCTGAAGGAGAATTCGAAAAAAGAATTCAAAATCAAGCAAGAAGAGTTAGAACTAAAAAACAAGAGCAGTGTACCCAAGTAAAGCGTCAAGACGAAATGACACAGCAACTGATCCATCAAAAGGAGCAGCAGCAAACAATGTTTGCTAATCTCCAGCAGCAGCAACATCAGCAGCTTCAACAGCTAAGCCAGATGCAAATGACTACAGGGTGTCCCAAAAGTTCGTTCCTCTAATTTCATGCGCTATAACTTTTGATCAAAACTTTATTTGTGTTTCTTACTCTATCGAGTACTTGTGTTCAGAAGTTTAGCTCAGCTATCGGCATCCCCCCTTTGTTTTTTATCACATTCTGTAGCCGTTGCGGTATTAAGTGAGATAAGCCATGTTCATGTAGAGCCCTAAATGATTCATTTTGGGTTTTTTTTATCACCTAGTATGCAGGAATCACCTCGTCCCCCAAATAATATAATTTTTTAGATTAGGCAGCTGAAATAATATATTTTGGGCTTTGATCCAAGAAAAGATGATCATTCCGTCCCCTTTCCACAGTAAGGCTTTTGTTACTCTTTACAAATTTGAAACGAGCTGAACGTTGCTTGGCGAGTGGCCCTGGCCGGGAGTAAAGGTTTTTTTTGCCATCTCAGGGGTCTCCAAACTTTGCTTTTCATGAAGCTGCTCCAGACTTAACTTGCTAACTGTTGTAAGAGCTACCCCGTTGGGTTTCCTGTTTTGTACATGGCCTTCTTTAAAAATATTTTAGCAGTTTTATTCAGGACTTTCGGTCTTCCCGCTCGTTTCTTGTCTGTAAAACCCTCATTTCTCTATGACCATCTTACCATCCAACATTCGGATATTTCCATTGTTTTAGGAATTTCTTTAACTGAAAAACCAGTAGATAGAAATACATGCTTCTGCTCGCACTTAGCTGACTGTTTTTTTCGTCGAGAGGGTTTATCTTTCAGGATATTCACACAAAACAAGTTATGAGTTCGAAAATTTCGGGCTACAAAATGCAAAAAATGTATGGCCGGAAAATTTACTCGCCCAGCGCACCCTTGGCGCGAAATTACACAAATCGAATTTCGAGTGAAAAGATGGCACAAGAAGTATGAAATATTAAATTAGATTGAAAGTCACAACTTTGGTTTACATTATGTGCTGATCAAGTCCAATTGTACTTCGTTACAGACTTATAAAGTAGAGGAACGAACTTTTGGGACACCCTGTATAATGCAGCAACAACAAAAACACAACCAGGCACTAGTGGCTGTGCTGCAAGAGCATGCCAAGAAGAAGAGACAGAATAAAAAGATGTTAAGTTTAGTTTAAGTTGATATACTAAGTATTTGTTGTGGTTCAATTTTATGGTTGTTTCAATTTGTCTTTTTCCTTGTTTTACACTCTTTTCCATATGTTACTATAGTGATCCCAAGAGCAATGAAGTATCCAAACAAACAGATTTAACTCAACCAGTTTCAATGCAAACGTAACACGGCCGCCGCTATCAAAAGCACATGGTCCCCCTACCCTAGCATACTTAGCGGCCTAATACATTACATCTCTCCTTTCCTCAGAAAAATGCTCCTTTATATGACAAAAGAAATCTCCACTAACAATAAGTAACAATTATTCACCGAAGTGGAGGTGGCTAGTAGTGAATACCTACCGAGGCCGCGAAGCGGCGAGGTAAATATCCACTACTAGCCACCGACACTGAGGTGAATAATTGTTTTAGGTACTAAAACAGTGAGATAATTGAGCACAAAAATGATGATTTTTAACTCATTTACAGTTGCGAACAATTACAATTTTGGCGCGCGATGACCTAACGGCTGCGGTCGTCGCTTTTTCCTGGCGACAAATAAAACTTTTGAAGGCGTTTGTTTAGCTCTTGCGGAGAAGTTTCTTCAAAAGGAGTTGTGAATTCTTTTTACTTCGGCGGAGCGCGAAGTAAAGGATTCGCGACGCTCAGGAATGTATCAAAGTTGAAATTGTTTGACAAGATTGGGCAAGCAAAGTCTAGGTTTTCGGCTCTATTCGGCTATTTGACGAAGTGAGAGCCGAATTGGTTCGAGATATCTCGAGATCACTTCGATTTCTTTGATTTATTCTTTAACTTTTTCGAGGAAGAAAGAATTCTTATTTTGGCTTTCCCGGGGTTTAAACCGACTCACCTGTGCGACCCGTCAGATCAGAGGAGACTCTAAGTTGAGGGATCAGCCGATTGCGCTACTGCGACCCAAGGTAATTTGGCATATGAAAAATAGTTATGAAATGATGCACTAGTTTCGGGACAAGATTGGGCGTGCAAGTTCGTGACTTTTCGGCTTGTTTCAACTATTTCACGAAATGAGATCGGACTACTTCGTGATATCTTGAGATCACTTCGGGTTTAGTCTTTAATTACTCAAGGAATAAATAGAGGATATTTCGTGGCCGCGCAGAGACACGAAATTTCTCTTCGAGTGTTGAAAAACATTTCACGAGTGAGCCCTGATTTCGAACTGTTTTATGATGAATTTAAAGTTACAAAATGCTGCACAAAGACATTTTGTCTTTGTTGAGTGTTACGTAGTAAAATTGCTTTCATGCGTTGCGTGACTTTCTCGAACGTTCTCTACGTTTTTGGATTTGCCATGAATAATTAATTAGGGCATGTTTACATTTCAGCATGAGTCAGCAGATTTGCATCCATTTACTGAAATCATAAAATATGTCGAAAAGCTACTACTATTCGCCTGTTTAGTATTTTCTAGAACCTTAGGTCAAACGGTATACAAGTTCCAAGCGAGATCTTTTGACGAACTAAGTTTTTTCCCACGAGCTGGACTGCTGTGTTTAGTCAAGTGTGACGAAGGTCGATTTTCAGGTTCTGTGTTTACAAGTTCGCGGAAGCCGTAAGATATCTGAAGTTCAAGTGAGAGTTTGTTATTATTGGTAGAGGCTGTTTAGTTTTACTCAAAGTTCAAGTCAAGTTTGTGTTGGCGGATGCTGTGTTTTAATGCTCTGTAAAGGCTATGTTCCTTTGGTGTTAAACTTCCTTGTGTTAATCCGACATCCCTGCGTGCTGATAGTCAGTGAATAATTATCGTCAAAACATTCGAACTCGTGACTTTGAGTTTTAGCCAATTCCATGCTCAACGTAATTGACTCCTTACCCATGCCGTACATATCTTTAATCAGTACATGAGACTGCTATGCTGTTTTTGAAGCCTGATGTGACTAAGAAAAATAGAGAATTGTTTTTTAGAAGGATTTGTATGGAGCCATCAGAGCATAACTGGGCTAATATCGTGGAGACAATTTGTCCTGAAATGCTAGTTTTTGGCAAGTAGGCCTTTTGGATGTTGCTCTTTTCATAATATCCTGACAAATCCCATAATTTCACACCTTACTCTTACCATATTTGATTTCTTACTATTCCTCCGCATTTACAATTAATTAGTTCCACAACAACGACGCCGAAGTGTACGCTAGCTCCGTAGCGTCTTGTTGTATTTAAAATCATTCTGTAAAAAAGATTATTAAATTTAGTTTTAAGCTTATTTATGAACAACTCAACTAAATAAAGTAACGCAAGATTTAAGCTTAATTTGCATTTGTAAACAAAAACCTATTTGACCGGTTTTATCGATAAATTCAAGTCAAAAAGACAAAGCTTTACCTGTTAAAACTTCCAAACCGAACTTCGTCACCTTCTTCATGTATTTCGGGAATAGCTTGCTTGATTAGTTGTGAAATTTCTTAGTTTGTTACGGCAGCAAACCGGGAAGGCATTTTGCTCGCAACTTACGCGTCGCTCGCTCGAAGGAACTGGAGGTGAATCAGTGAATAGTGCAGGATATTCACTGACTGAGTGGCCAATCAGAGCGCGCGAAAAACACTATTCACTGTTTCAGTATATACTAAAGCCAACTATACTAACGATAAAGTCTCTTCTGCTAAATACGCAAACAGAAACTTAAATGTTCAAACTGTGCATAGTTCTGAAGAGAGTATAAGTGTTCATGTTCCTCAAAGAAAATTAACAGCATAGTCTCTTAATCTCTCTGGCAATATCCTTGTCCTCTGGGGTCTCAAATTCCTTGATGCCTCTGGTGCCGCTCCAACATTCTCCTGTAGATCAGGGCACTCCCCTCTATCCAGCAGCCCGGCAGTCGATTCTGGTACGGTTGGTTGGTAAGGTGATAGCACAGGGTATAATTCCTGCTGGGGTGTCGGGGTTGTTGACACAGAGTCTGACCCTTGTTGGGGTGTGGGATCTCCCTCTCTAATGTATTGCTTCACATGACTTGTGTTTCTGGAGTTACAATAGCTTTCCTCACTTCTTTCAGCTCTTCATCATCAGCAGAAGCCACTTCTATCTCAAGGGTTGTGAGTGCCGTTGGTGTTGCACTTACAGCAACAAACCTAACATACTCTTCAGTACACCGCTGGTGGTTGTCAGGTTCAACCTTCCTATGAAGTAGTCGCGACAATGGATCAGCAATGTTCTCGCGCCCAGGCCTGTGTATCACACTGAAATCATATGGCTGTAATCTGAGAACCCATCGCTCTATCCGTGCACATGGTCTTGACCGTGGACCATATATGACCTCTAAAGGCTTAGCTTGTGTTCGGTCTCTACAACAAACTTCATCCCATACACATGGAATCTCTCACACGCCCACACCACACCCAGTGCCTCCTTCTCTGTCTGGGAATATCTCTGCTCAAATCCGGTCAAACTACGACTCGCATAACATACCTGTGTCCATGCACCGTCCTGCTCCTGTACGAGAACAGCGCCCAGCCCAATTGGACTGGCGTTCGTGATTATCTTGGTGGATGCATTCTTATCTAAATATGCCAAAGTGCAACCTTCTGCCATGTTCTGTTTGAGCAATTCAAAGGACTTCTTCTGCTCTGGTCCAAATTCGAAGGGTGTCTCTTTCCTTGTCAGCCTTCGCAGAGGTTCGGATAAAGTGGCAAAGTGAGGTATGAACCGGCTACTGTAGTTGGCTAAGCCCAGAAAGCTACGTACATCTGACGCACTCTTTGGTTCTTCCACCTCTAATACTGCTTTAACACGATCTGCTGTAGGGCCAATGCCTTTCTCTGAAAGCAGCATACCCATGAACACCAGCCTGTCCGAACTGAAAAAACATTTCTCAGCATTTAAAGTGAGACCGCACTCTTGCAGACGCTCTATAGTTTGTTGGAGTCGCCTGTTGTGTGTTTCTGTGTCGGGAGCATACACCACAATGTCATACAAAATGTTTTCGACACCTTCAATACCTGCCAGGGCTGAAGCAATTTCATGCTGATATTGTTCACTGGCAGAACAGACACCAAAGAGTAGGCGCTTGTATCTAAAACAAAAACCATCAGGTGTAGCAAAGGTTGTGATTTCCCTGGATTCTGGGCTCAACTCCAACTGGTGGTACCCCCATTTAAGGTCTAATTTACTGAAGACCTTAGAACCATTCATGGTATGTAACACCTCATCAACTGTGGGAATTGGATATCGTCTTCGCATGGTTTGCCTGTCACATATCAACACAAAGGCGGATTTCCCCGTTTTTCTTTGGGACGATGACTACAGCGTTGACCCAGGGGCCTGGACCCTCCACTGGTTCAATTATTCCCAGTTGCAACAGTTCTGTGGTCCTATCTCGGATCTTTCCTCTCAGATTAAATGGTATCCTTCTATAAGGCTGTGCAATAGGTTTTACAGTGGGGTCTATATCCAGGGATATCTGTTTGTTTTTCAATTTTCCGACATCCTCAAATACCCCTGGGTACTGCTGTTTTAAACTGTCAGCTTTAGTTGTTACCATAGCAATGTTAATGCCAACTTTAACACTCCCAGTTCTGTGGCTGTTATCTTTCCAAGCAGTGACATCCCTCTACCTTTAATTACCAAGACCTCAGCTTTGGTGGATCTATCACAAGCACTAACTGCACACTTAAAACTACCCTTAACTGGCAGTGGCTGACTAGACGCATATGGGTACAGCTTCTTGTCTGGGGTACCTTTAGCTGTTCCCACGTCCCCTCGTCAATAATGTCGCTGTTTGCCCCAGAGTCTATTAACATCTTAAGGTCTACTCCTCCTACTCGTACGGTGACCATTTCTGAGTGTTCTCCATCTGTAATACTGAATGCATAGTCATGCTGGGGCCCAGGGTCATTGTCATCGGGTTACCTCCCAACCTGACGAGCATATGACTTTGTCTTGCAAACCTTTTCAAAATGATCTTTCCCGCGACACTTTCTACATGTTTTTCCTCTTGCTGGGCACTGGGGATCACGAACGAAATGTCCCAATAAACCACATCTATAACATATCTTATCTCTCCCTTGGAATCACCCTTGTGTGCTAGTACTCGGATTGTTACTTCTCTTATTGATTCTATTGATACTTTCTGATTCTTCCCCCTTTACTGAAACGGCAGCCAGTTGGGTTTCTATCTTTTCGCATTTTGCGGCAACCTCTAGGGTGCGTGTTAAGTTCAGTCCTTGGCCTTCTTCAAGCAATTTTCGTTTAATGTAAGTGGAAGTGCACTTATTCAAAACTGCATCGCTTATCTGGTTGTCGGTACCATTGCTCACCCTGGATTTGCGTGATCCGATGAAAGGTCTGGCGGGCGAATGCTGAATTTACCTGTGGCACGAAATAGGCGTTGAGAGCTTCAACAGCACTGGCGTAATTTGTAGCATCCCCGGTTTCAGTTAAGGTGGTAAATATCCTCTGTACATCAAGCCCAGCCCGGTGGAGTAACATTGCTCTTCGCCTCTGTTTAGTTGCTGCTGTGATTCCTTCGCTTATAATAAGCCCTTTCCCGTCGGCGTACAGTTCGAATGAAGTTAACCACCTCGTCCATCGGGGGCCAATCGTCGCTGGATCAGAGAAACAATCAAACTTCGGTAACACGTTCTTTTCCATTTTTTTTTTGTCCTCGTCGCCAATGTAGTGATCCCAAGAGCAATAAAGTATCCAAACAAACAGATTTAACTCAACCAATTTCATTGCAAACGTAACATGTCCGCCGCTATCAAAAGCACATGGTACTTCTATCCCAGCATACTTAGCGGCCTAATACATTACAGTTAGGATACACAATATTGAACCAACGATAAATTGAACCACAGCATATACCTTTATCATGCTCAGAACAAAGCACCATTGTTTGTTGTTCTTTATTGGGTTGAGATAATTACAGAGTTCATATTCAAAAGTAAGCATTTGGAAGGACCATGGCAATATGCCCTGGTGTGCCAGTCTTCTATGGTTGTTAGTACTGGTATATAATTACACCAGTGATCTCTATGGTGATCCTTCTCTCTTAAGTGACAGTCTCTCTTAAGAAAAATACAAACTGATTCATGGCATGTGTAGACGGCAAATTTATTGCAAAAACTGAAATGGCCAATTAGTTTTATTCTTGACCTGGTAATGACTAATAGATGAGGATTACTTAAAATAATTTTGGATCTGGATATTGGGCATGGCTTATAAAACCTACGGAGTCACAAGCCCCCCTACCTTGGCAGAGGGGATACCTGGAAATGTAAAAGGCACAGGGAGGAGCAAACCATTTGTTAAGTTCGAAATATTCGATTTTCTTATTTGCTTTGGTTGCATATTTGTTTTTTTTTTTTGTTTTTTTGTGGCAACAGCAAGATTTTAGCCTTTTTTGGGAAGGGGGGAAGGGAGGTCATTTTAAAATTCAAACCAAAAATAATTGGAAAATATATAGTTATTTTAGGGGTAGTACAGTATCACTTAATTAGCACCTACACGTAGCTCTCTCTAACTTTTATTTTAAAGTACCCCTGAGGTCAAACATGAGAAAGGATATTATACTCTCCCCCCCCCCCCCCCCATCAACCCACACAGCAGAATGTCTTAATATTCTTTAAGGTGTGGCAAGTCCTTATCCTCCCTAGAATTAAGCAAACTATACTTCCAGGGTGGGTGGATCCAGCTCAAAAAACTCGGAGGTTGTGTTGCCAGATAAGCATGTTAATGGATTTCTTAATAAGGCGCAAACAATGTACATCTTTCCTATTGAAGAAAGTCCAATCTTGAGGTTCTTTTTGAAATCTACAAACTTGAAGTACTCAACTATGCCTCCAAATAGCCATTCTACAGAGACTCTCACAGAGCTGACAGCCTTATTAAAATTTACCATCTGTGGGGTGAGTATCATGTTTCTAAAAGGCATCTGGAGGTGCACCCTCAATGGGTAATCGGGGTCTCCATAAACACATAGTGGATGACCCGCTAGCCCAGGTGAAAAAGCATAACGTTGCATATCTTGAAGAAGATTGGAGTCTGCTAGCATGGCAGCGTCGTGTCGTCTGCCCTCTATGAAAAAAAAAGACAAATTAAAAACGTTTAGATTAAAAAATTTTCAGGTCTTTTACTGAACGGTAATTTAATATTCCATTTCTCTTACCGATTGGTCGATATATATTTCCTATAATTCCATTTGGTAATGCCACGGATTGGAATTTTACATCGTGAACTCTTTTGTGGCCATTGCCAACAACGCGCTGATTTTGGCAAGGCTTGCTTATTGGTCTAACTGTCCCATCAATAAAGCCAAAACAGTTATCCAAGGGGGATCCCTTAGCTGTTATGGCATTACTGTATATTTCCAGTGAATAAGGGTTGAGGATGCTATCATTCCACTGCAAAATTCTGTGACTGTGTGCCTGGTAGATGTATTCGATCATGGAGTTGTTTATCATGCATAACACTGGAACAGGCTTCCCAGAGAGAGCTATCATGTCTGAATATCGACAAGGATAGCTATGTCTCTTTAGAAAAATGCAAAGAGCCTCCAGTCCGCTACAGACACTTCTTTGATAGCACTCCACTACGTCAGGAATCCCCAATACTTCAGCCAGAAATGGTAAGTCGTTCTTGTAGAAGCGAAACTCTGAGATGCACTCGTCGTCCTCCAAATCATCGAAGTCAAAATCAGGATAAGAATTGTACGGAAGATCAAGATTATCGGACCTGTTTAAATCGTACATGAGTAGAAGTTCCTCATCGTTTATCACACCATCATCGTGGCTAATGAAAACTTGATTTCGAACTTCTTTCAAAGACATCATGAGCAGCGTTTTGTAATGGCTGCTTAACCGTTTAGAAACGCACGGAACACTTAGTTAAAAAACACAATGACTTGCTTTAATTGAAGGGAAGCTATTTGGTCCTTAACGAAGAAAAAAAACAAGGAAACAAAAAAGAAAAGCGAACAGAATCATTACACTTGACAGTGAAAATAGCAAGAAGGTCGAACTATAACACTGATCTCAGAAAACTTCGCATAAACAAAATCACTGGCCGCCGAAACCACAAAGCGGCTCTAAATGAAAAACCTACCGACTCTCCGCAATGATTCTTCATTCGCAGTTCAATTTAGCATTTCCGTTTCGAAAACAACGGCAAATTTGCTGTTTAAGATAAAGATTAAACTTCTCGAAATGTTTGAACTGCACGAAAGAACGCCAGGGATGCGATCCGCTGAATATCAAGCCACAATCCCGCTAAAATTTTTCATAATTATACATAATTATGCGAATGTTTAGAAAATCAACCAATCAAAATCACTACCCGGTTTCGGGCAGTGAGTGACGTCACTGGACCGACGGCATTAACGGCCGGTCGATTCAGACATTACTGAGGGAGTAATAACGACTCGAAGTAATCGAATGAAATTCCGGCTAGGATGTCTAGTTGATATTTTTAATATGATTGCCAATATCGAGTCCTGATTCGCTATGGAACTCAACGTTAGTAAAGAAACTACCGGTAAATAACAAAATCACAGCTCCGTGTCAAACAAAACTGTCTTCGAAGCATTAAATCAAACGCTACAAATAGCAAGAAGCAACTGATATATCAAGCATGAGACGCAGTGTTTCATCACCACTGTGATGAAACGCTAAGAATTAAGAGAGTTGAAAATACGACGCGTAGCGGAGTATTTTTGACGAATTCCGAGGTGTTTCCTGTGGTGATGAAACACTGTGTCGAATCCTTGATATTACTTCTTAAACAAAATAATTTTAAAAGGAGAAATTAAGGACGTGAAAATGAGCAGTTTTTCCTCTGATTTCCAAACACTCATTAAATATGATTTTCCTTTGTATTTTCTTTATGAATTATTGATGAGTTTGAGAATGAACTTTTGAAAAGCCACAATTCCAATCCGTTTTGATCTTCTTCACAGTTTGTCCATCAGTGCCTTCTTTTTCATTTTCTGTGTTTTGAGCGGTTATTTTCATCTTTAACATGTTTCACTCAATTTGGCGGCAGTTCCCAATGTTTGAATTTTGACAAATTTGTGACATAGCTCCTTTAAAAATACAGCAATCGAAAAGGCAAAAATAATGCACTGGCAGCAGCACAGTCCGCAGGACATTACCGCCTAGTTATATTGAAAGAACGTATTGAAGAAAAATGTACCTTAACATTCCGTGTCTTACTTGCTTTCTACCCTTTTTAGTATCTGTGTTTACCACTGATGTTTACATATTATACCTTGGCATTGTTTTCCAAAATACGGTGAAGGGCATGCGCACGTGTAGTTGTTTTTTCCATCAGTACAAGTGCCACCATTCAAACAGGGATTACTGGAACATTCATCAAACTCTGAGACATAAAAACAAATATCCTGATTACGAGAGGCGACGTTCAATGAGACAAGTTTGGTAAAAGGAGGGCAAATGAACATATTTAACTTGCAATCCTACCTTCACACATCTTTCCCTTATGAGTGCGAGGACAGATACAGCTAAATTTTCTTTTGCCGTTTACGCAAGTTCCTCCGTTCAAACATGGACCACTTGTACATTCGTCATAATCTAAGTATACATAACATATAGAAACGTTATTGTCAAGACTCGTAAAGGACTTAAGCAACAGCCAGCACTGAGCTTTCTTTGCTATGGCAAAAAATACAATACAGTAAGGTAAATTCAATGGTTGACAGTTTTTTATTCTTTCGCAAATTATTGTGTGCTGTACACATAAAAAGGGAGTCGTCGAAAGGCTAGTTGGAATAGCGCTGGCCTGCTTTAGTGGAAGGCCCGGGTCTAAATACTGGTAGGATTACCACTAACAGTTTATATAGGTTTTTCATAGGGCATTTTCCTCATGTTAGTTTTGAGACTAAAAAACATCTACCTTTTTTACAAGTGTATTGATGACAAGTTGAACAATCTACATCATTCCACATGTATCCATGGCCCGGTCCAAGGGTGTGTACACAGTCTTCCCCTCTAAAGTTGTTTGGTTGATTCTGAGCCCAGTAGTGGAATTTAAAAGGACAGCCATCCACCCAAGCGAATACTCCGTCAGTGGCAATATCATTCAAACCAATCCACGCCTTATCACCGTTGTGTCTGTGCTGAACATATACGTTTTCTTCCTGGCTTTCAATGGCAGGTAGATTAGCTCCCATTGATCGGCAGATTAAACTTGCGTTAGTCCATGTCTCACATTTTTCGCAATGTAAAGTAACACGAACCGTTGTAGAAGCTCCATCCGGGTGGACAAACATCTTTAGAACACAAAAATGAATGGCAATAAGTAAGAAAAAAGTCTTCTCTCCAGCTCTGAAGAAAGTACCAAATATACTGACTACTCTCACAAAAACAAGGGAGTTTTGTAGCCTCCGGTGGCTATATGCCAAAAAAACAACAACAAGAAAAGAAAAGATCGCCCGTCTGCTCGACTGTATTGAAGACCTACTTGTCATGTCATAACCCAGTCAGGATGGACTTTATTGAAGATAGTTTCATAATCAGTTATCAGCACAGTGCTGAGTGACATCATAACCGAATTTCAATGTTTTCTCACCTGGTAAGACTGCGTATGATACTGACAGAGGATCATGTTGTTGTACAAACAGCTCCTTCACGCAGGCTCTAAAACCGGTCTTGTTTATGTACTGACAGAGAAAAGACGCAGTAATCAGAGAGAACTGACTGCTAAAAGCTGTCACGTCACTGTCGGCCGGAGTCAAAAACGCTCGTATTGACATCGCCTAAGCCCTATAGGGGTCGGGTTCCACTGTCTTTTCGTTTGCCGGTTTGCTTTACTTTTTGTTTCGTTTTCTGTTTGCTGTTTTGTTTAGGACAACACGAAAGAAAACCAGTAAGAAAAGCAATGGACCCCATCTGCGCTCCCGCGTTTTATTAACACCTGTTGCTATCATACAGCTGCAACCCCATAGCAGAGGGCGAGGGAGGTAACTTGCTCACTCACTCACTTGCTACACCGCGAAGCCCCTATGTAAAGACCTTGTTTAGAAAAAAATGAAATGAAAATTTATAACGCTTATTGATTGAAAAATCGCTCTTTCATTTCAAAATAACCTCTAACCTCAGCCCAAGCTGATATGGAGTTGTACAATGGATTAAGGTTTCCTCCGCTTGTTGTATGGTTTGCACACACCAGCACTTCAGGAGAATCATTGTAATGCTTTTTGAAGACAACGTCCTTACAAAAGAAAGGAAAAACAAGTGAGAAAGCGAAAATTGATTTTGAAATTAACATTTCAAAGCGCAAAGGAAATTTAAGACATCCCAGCTGTAGGAGAATGACAATTTTGTTATTGCAGTACAAAGCGGGTCTTGGAGTTGAACATGGGAATTACCTTCGTGTATATCCAAGATAACAGAGCGTATGAATAAAAACCGCAAGCAGAAAGCATTCGAACGGTAGTAGGCGCAAGTGAGTGGGCGAGTCACCGAATAGAGGGGAGTTCGGTTGGAGAAAAGGTCATTCCACTGGAGAAAAGAGAGAACATACCTTACAAAAGGCATAGTTCATATCCTTAGATGGCTTGTTCACGTTGGAAAAGTAAATAGCACCATGCTCTCTGAAAAGAGGTCGATGAATCCTGCCAACGGAGAAATTAATTGTCAGGTTAACAGATTACTATCTTCATGTTGGGGGAGTATAAAATAATTTATATATGAAAAAAAAAACATCAAAATTGGGTAAGACGGAAGTTGATACTACGTAAGTTTAAAAAACGCCCTTAGTTTTCTTTTCTTTTCTTTTTTTCTGGCAATCGCATCACACATGCGCTGCACCAAACAAATTGTAATTTTAAGGTCAAAGCAAAAGAGGTAAAGTCGAACAGTAACTTTCAATATAAAACTATCAAGGCAAATCTGCAAGCACAAAAGGTTTTCAAACCCTAAAGGCAATTTTATTTCCAACAACATTCTTCGTAATTTCAATAATGCCCTATTTTGCCTAAACTTGTGCATTCTCAGCAGAAAAGTGTTGTATAAAGGGTAATTGGACCACCAGACCGTCAAATGCGCATAAAGTGCGTACTTCCGTGGTTAAAAGTGCACATAACAAATAAACGAAGCAGCTTACAATATGAATGCTTTCATGAGCGCCGTCAAAGTTTTGTAACTCTCTGACGCAGATCTTGAAGGAGGTTGTCGTGATATCTTCAACCCAAACAGAGGAAGCATCATGCTTTACACCGCGTCTTACATGCTCCGCTGACACTAGGACTGTGGGCGCTGAAGTAAACTTTCTCTGTGATGACAACAATCAGAGGGAACATTGTTAGAAAAAGGTTTCAAATACATTTTTAATAAAATTAAAACCTAAAAACGGAATTCTTGTTATATTTTCCAAGAAAGAAGAAACGGTGATATCATGTTCGAATTACTTAAAATATGCGATATTAAGACAGCTATAAAAATCCAACAATTTAAAGTTTATGGTAGGTAAAAAGTATTTTATGTAAAATATATTTTATTAGAAGGTCTACTAAAGGACGCAAATAAGAAATAAATGAAAATCTCCTTTTCTTTATCATTTCCTTCCTTTATACCCTATAGGAATCACGTTCATGGGGAATTTTAGTATCTTTTCAGGTCCGTAAGAGTCCTATCTCTCATGTACTATTGTTGATTTAGTTAAAAGACACTGCAAATGAACTTAAGAATACTACAAATTGAACTCACCGAGGGTAGCGACACTGTACGACAGCTCGTCCCAGTCCACCAGGTTGGCATGTCCATTTCACCCGACACTCCCCCGTCAGGGGCTCCCTGGTATGCCAGCCAGTCCACTGTGGCAAACGTTTCTCCATTTCTCCTCTCGTTTCTACCAGCCTGTGTCACACACACTGTGAAATTGTTCCCTATGATGTCTTCAACCCAAGCAACCACTGCCTCGTGAACATAGGCTGGGTCTGAGAAGTTCACGTGATTGACAGAAACCTGTATGTGAACCGGTTTGTCAGGATAAAAGACGTAAGGTCCCAGTGGAACTTGTTCGCAAACTGCTTCAGCCCAGATTGGGTTGTGACTGAGGCGATGACGGCCTTTTTGGGAGGGGAATCCTGAAAACAGACAATAACAACAACAACAACAACAACAACCAAAACTTGTAAGACTGTTTGGTTAAAAAATGTCCAGCCAAGACTGAATTGAATTTAAGCCACAAAGAAGACAGCAGAGCTTGGCAACTAGAAACTATAAAGCCTCTATTAACCAAGCTTTCATCAAGATTGAATTTAAAAAAAAATGGGAACCAAATTTTTCAGAAGTTACGTCAGCGGAATTTAAACACTGCCTTGTTGGTAACATCAAACGTTACTTACGAGTGAAAATCATGAGGAGGTTTATTCAACTATGAGATTATTCACACGGCAGCAAGCCAGTAAACATTGAAGAACTTACTTATCTAAAGAATGCAACAAAATATAATGACTCACAAGCAAAATTACCTGTACAATCTCCTGGATGATAGGCAGTGAAGTTTGCCCGGAGATGGCACATTTCTCGCTGGAACGCACACACGTTATCGTATGTAGTTCCATTGGAGGAACACACAGGCTCCTCGAATGATGGACAATTATCCACGCAAATGCACCGCGCGTCCCTGGGACCAAACGCCTTGCAGACTGCAAAGTACTTGCAGGAAACATTGATGCACGGGTCAAGATCTGTTAACAAATGATACACACAACAATTCAAAATGTCAAATCTTGGCTAAATCAAATGTAAGATTATTTATTTATCCACTTAATTTATTATTTTATTTGTCACTTAATTAGCTAACTGTTTCTGTAATTTCTGTAGATCTATAAGTCCTAACTCATCGTTACTTATTAGGATCTTCGAATCGAGTACGAGAAACGTAAGGGGAGCACTGAATGAAAGTGTTCTTTGAGCCTTCTTTCGACCATCCGTTGCAGTACGGTTTCAAGGGACCTATGAGATCGAAACTAAACTAAAGAAATGCGCAGCGCAAAAGCGACAGTAACACTGCATTTTAGTTCTAGAATATTTACCTCCAATAACTGTGTAATGAACGGTAACTGGATCATGTTGGCTCTCGTCGTTATTTCCTGTGGTCACAAATCGTAAACACTCACCGCATTAGATAACACATAAACCTGTTGGGGATCTATCAGTTAGCAGCCAACGTAAAAATAAATTAATTTTCAAGTTGCAATTAAGCTTACGGATGACAGTAAAAAATCGTTATTTTACCTCTATCCAGGCGTTCAGAACATTGTTCTCCGGCTTAACAGAATAAACGTTATTGCTGTCATAAAGATGACTGACTGTAACCATAACAACGGGAGGTGCATAAAACGTCTCGGTATAGTTAAGAACCGGTAAAGAAAGGACAAGAAGCAAAGTTAGCCTGCAATTATTGATAAAAAGGACAGGGAAAGGGGAAGAGCGACGAAAAAGGAAAGGCAAAAGTACCATTCTCCCTTATTCTCATCACGTTTTACATTTGCTAGTTGACATGTTTAAGGCAACACTGGACATGATATTTGTATTACTTCCGAAAATCCAAAGCGGATTGAATTCTTTGATTTGTCGCAAAGTTCATCATGGCTTAGCTCTACCAACTGCAAGACAAGTAAGTTCGAGTAAAATTCCACATATCTGCCTTTTCAACGTTCCACTACCAAATTTCTCTATTACCTTTGCAGAAAGCGAAGTTATCTCGTTCCAGTGGGGCCCCACCATTCTCAAACTGAAGTTTTCCTTGAAATGTCATCTCACCAGTTCCTTTGGTAAAGGCCAACCAGTCCTAGAAAACAAAACAACTTGTTGTAATCAGTTGCTAATTTAGTATTTGCTGCATAGAGAGGATGCTGTAATTGTAAAACTGACGAAGCTAATAACTCTGCCAACAAAAGGAATCAGAAGGTCATTGACGCTTTTTCGGCGATTTGATAACCTTAACGGACCAGTCCGGTATTTCATTTTACTTTTAATTTAGTAGACCCTTATTACTTCATAAGACGCAACCGAAAATGACAGAAAATTCAGACCGTGTTTTGATAATCCTTGTTTTTAAATGAATAAATGAAAAAACTGTATCCAACAACAGAGCTCGTGTGCAAATTATTACTCACAAACAATTAAAACTCACGTAACAGACCAACTTACCACTTTAATATTTTGGTGCATTCCGTCAAATGTTTTTACTTCTCGGAGGCAGATTCTAAAGTGGTCTTCCTGTAACTCTTCTATCCATATGTTCATGGCGTCCAGTGGCCTGCTGATGCTCGTGTGACGTACAGTTGCCAAAACTTTTGGGACAGAAGGAAACCTCTGCAAACCAAGATGGAAGCTATTAAAGCTGCTGTTTCGGTTGACAAGGAGTTTGAATATTTTCACCATAACATGTACAAAGTAGCTGTCACTAGCGCATCATGGTTTAATTCAATTAAACGACGGTCTTCACGTTAGAAATAAGAATAGGCTAAGATGCGGGTGCCAACATGAGTACGGAAAGTTTAAGAAAACTCGAGGCGAAAAGCGTATAACTCTGGGCAAATCTAGTAGAAAAAAAGAAATAGGACCCCATTCTCGCTGCAACTATGACGTTTGAAGCTTGATTAAAACCCAATAAATACAAAACGAATTTTGACAAGCTTTGCTGTAGCTTGTTTCGAAGCGTTTTATAAGCCCCATTAGCGATCCTAAAACCCCTTACGAAGATGTATAAGCCCAGTACTGAGTTTACGGAATACAAACAGCTTAGTGATTAGAGCATTCGACCGGTGTACGGAAGGCCAGAGGTTCAATTCCTCTCGGAGACTCAGACTTTTTCATTGTCCTATGCTCATGACATAATGATTGCATCATTTCTCGATATTATAGTAACACCCAGAGTACCCTGGCCTTCGATCAGAATAGGATTCTAGGATTGCCTGCCTACCCCTCCCTTAACCAAACTTTCTGGGTTATTTAGAAGTTATTGTCAACTTGAGTTAAGGGAGCGGTAGGTGGGCAGTTTACCCTTCCCCTCAAAGAAACTTTGGAATTGACGGTCCAGGGTAAATATTATATTAACAAAAGCTTAAAACGTTGTTCTTTCTAACTTAATCGCTCAAAACGCAATAATTCTTGATGGTCAAGAATAGACATAATCCACAATGGTGTTTTATTCTCATTGTTTTTGTAACTGGGCGTTAAATAAACATTAATTGTTTCAAATGCTAAAAGTCACTCGAGTAGCATTATCTCGTTAAGTATAACTAAGTGTGAAACATTGCGGTGACATTTCTAAGTTAAATATCAATAAACAGGGGCACCCAACGACAATTTTCGGAAAAAATATCTGTTCGGAAGACAATTTGAGATCTAGAATTTTCGGAACATTTGTTGTAAAATTTATTGCTTGCCTGCCTCTCCTAGGATTTTTGAACATCTAAGAAATGGTAGAATTGCCCATTTTCAACGGATTTTTACCCTAAAAAGGTCACCTAGAATTTTCGGGAGCCTTTTTTCTGGCTGAAATTTTCGAACAGGTAAGTTTTGATCCCTATAATTTTCGGATCACTAGACTTTCAGCTAGGAAATCCGAACAGATGAAAAATTTATAGGGGATAAAAATATGCCCATATCCACCGCTTAAATACTAAAACACGTTTAACAATGCTATGTTTAAGTGGTTTTGAACTATATTCTCGTTGGGTGCCCCTGAATAAAGCACACAAGTAAGTACTTAACTGCCCTCTGGCAACCATCCCAATAATTTTCTCTACTAATACGGGTAGCGAGAAAGCATCCCGATTCCCCTTTGGATGTCGCTAATTGTCTGGAAAATTTCACCAGTTCTATGAAGCCCTGTTGGTTTCTACAAATAATTTGTGAACGCTTAAAAAGAAAACAACGCTGCATCGAAACCATACCTGAACAAAGTCAACTCTTTCACATTTTGTTCCTCTGTTGAATGCGTTGAAGGAGGCGGCGCCGTCGAGGGTGCCAGAGGGCGTGCCACGAAACGCAATCCACTTCACTACAGCAGATCCATTTGTACCAAGGCCTGACTCCAGCACGCAAATGCGGAAGCTGTTCAGTGTCACATCTGTAGTCCAAACGACTGCTGAATCATGGACACTTAGCGTTTCGTTTTCATGGCTGGTGGATGCGAGAACACGGATGTTACTGGAGCTGGAAAATACCTGAGCATATTGCACGGTTCTGCAGTGGAGCAGGCTTGGAGATACGACGGTGAAATTAACCGTTCCATGCTGCAGAAGACTTTGTCCTGAAATGAAAATTGTAGAGTATTGGGTCATGGAACAATCAGCGAGGTGGAATGGCGGTCCATTTCGGTTCGGTCAAAAGCTATTTTCTGTAAACTGGCCACTCTGGGTGGTTCCAAATTACTTTTTTCAACAACACGGAACTTTTGTTAAGCGGTCCGTAAAGTTTTAAGAATATGAAGAAACCATTCAGCAATGTCACAAAGGATATTCGAGTACCCGTAAACTAAACTGCTTGATGACCGTTGATACTACAGTGGAAGATAGGGAGAAGAACATCAAACTCATATTTTCAAACTGAGGATTTTAATTGTCTGGTAAAAATAAGGGTAAAATATACTGCTAAGGGTGATGCGCCTCATTCTTATTCAGTTTTATCTCGAGTTGAACACTGTTTTGATGTCCCCACCCCAATTAATTAATTCCAATTTATTATTTTCCCTCCTCCTCCTCCTCCTCCTCCTCCTCCTCCTAAAACATTAGAAACGAGGAGAAGGAGGAAAACAATCAAAGTGAGGAGGCGGAGGAGGAGGAGGAGGAGGAGGAGGGAAAATAATAAACTTGTGGAGGAAGGATTAATAGCATTGAGGAGGGAAAACAATAAAATTGAGGGAAAATATTAAAATGGTGGTGGAGGGAATAAAAAAGTAAGGGAAATATTAAAACTGTGGAGGAGGGAATTCAAGAATGAGGAGCGAAAATAATAAAATTGTGGATCATGGAATAAAAAATATTGAGAAGGGATGAGAATGGCGTTGAAACTGAAGGCACCCAAGAGAGCGACAACGACACTGAAAATGATAGTGAGGAAACAGAAAGTAGTAGCCCTGAGACGTCCACCACCTTTCACTCTAAAAGTCCCTGTGAACATTGCGAGAACTCTAATGTGTACTCGACATGATAACTACTCGATTTGTCCTATATGCGATCACCAGATCCCCGAGGAGAGAAATTACATCAAAGAGGGCTTTCTTCGGTGTCACGACTGTGGAGCAATTACACACAAAAACGCCAAGACGTTGGAAACCAATTTTTATTCGCCTTCTAAACAGGAGAACGAAGAAGAGGATTAACTTCCATCCCTTTCAAATCGCTGTTTATTTGACTCTTTTTGTCACTGGATTTCAATAAAGTTTTTAAAACTGTATCTCGTGTCTTGTCAATTTATTTGTCGCGTGTTTTAATTGATCCTTGTTAAGTTATTAATCGTTTGTGTTTTTACAATAATAAGTCAAAGTGCTCCCTTGGGTCTAGCTGTAGAGATGAACTAATTTGTATTCAACTTTGGGCTTGTTAACCGGCATAATTAACTGACTAACGCTAACGGTGCGTGAATTGACAAGACCATAAGCTCACCAAGCGCTGAGTTTCCTCGAGATAGAACGGAGAAAACACTTTTGTAATGGTGAGTCAAAATTGAAGTAGAGAGTTTTCAGCTCCACTTTTTGTATGTGTGTGTGTTTTGTTATATATCCGATTTTTAGCGCTAAATAAGAAGACATGTGTTGCTAGGCGATCGCACCTTCTTATTCCAATTTTTATAAATAGACTTTCCACTCATTAGGAACAAGAATGGGGTTTATTTAAGAACCAAAAGAGTTAGGGTTTACTTTAGAACCACCTGTTGTTTTCTATAGAATTTTCATACCCTGTGCAATACTTTCTACAGAGTCAAGTAAACAAAGACTGACATTTTTGCTTGATAGGCAGTTTTTCGCTGAGCTGAGCTTCGACCTCGTTTTCATGTTTTGCCCGAAAAACTAGTAAGATTTCGCATTCGCTTAACCTCCTTTTCCCTTCTTTTGAAGAAAGGTTTTTCAGTTAACGTCCGTGTCTTGGTTTTGCTTATAACCGATTTTTAGTGAAAATAATTTAATGATTAAAGATTTTTCATTTAGTATAATCTGCAAGGATAACACGTTCAAAATTTGCCCGCTTTTATTTTGAACACATAACAGTTTCTACAATACCCAATAAGAAAACTATCGCAAATAGCTGATTATATAAAAAATCACTTTTCTGTTTATAGATTATGATCTCAACATTTTTTGATGACGTCAACTCTAGGAAATTCTGATGTCACTTGCTCCTTGCCAGCTGAAAATAGACTATGACATCATCCTATGTTAATGGAATGCATGACGTCACCGGCGTTAATGTATTCCCCGGAAAGTAAATGGAATACCCCCCAAAGAAAAGGAGTAACCAGTGCCTCCCCTACTACTGAGACGCTCGCCTTGTTTTCCATTTAAAGAGCGATTTACATCAACTGATCATGAAAAATATTCTCATTTATTGTTCCAGGGTATAATCTAAAGAGAACGTATCATTTTAACAACCCGGAAGTACAGTACATAAGAACAAAAAAGTGAAAGAAAAAAAACTTTTCTGATGTGTTTGGTGGTACTACTGAGAATATAGAAATTGGTCAATAAGGTAACAAATTCAAAAATAAAAGTATGACGGAAAGTGACGTCAGGATAAGCATTAAATTCAAGGGAAAAAAATTGTTCATTGACCTTTAAAAAAAATGAAAATGTCAAAAAAAAAATACATGAATGGCAGTCATTGTAAATCAATCAGCGTCAAGGCGGTTTTTTATAGTGGAGTATTGCCAACTTTTAATGGGCCGGACGGGATTAGCAAAATCAAAAAGGATGATAACAGATTTCTTTTCAAATGATTCATTATTAGCCTGTTCCAGGCGTTCGGATGGTGGGGAGTGGGCAAAAAATTAGGGCGCCAGCGAAAAATTGACGAGGGAAAAAATAGGGCGCCCCAGTCTCCCCTCGTGTTTCTTTTTGCGCTGGCCGCGTACGATTTAACTTGCTCCCCACTATCTAAACGCCTGGAACAGGCTAATTCATTTTCAACTCTCCTGCTTTGCACCAGAGGGTATATTATATAAGGCGTAACTGTATAGTATGCGCAAATTGTGGGATTGTACGTAAAGCCTACAAGGCCTGACAATCAAATCATAGGAACGTT